ATCAAATGAAATATAAAGATCTAGAAAATGACTAAGATGGAGGTTTGGAAAATGAGGTGTAAAAAATGAAATGTTTAATATTAAGTAAAATATGTAGATCTGGAAAATGACTCAAGAAAAAAAACTAAACATTTATCATAAAGAAGAAATAGGTGAAGCAAATGACTAAGATGATGGAGGCTAATACGCAGATATGAAAAATAAATGGAGATTCTTAAACTGACCATTTCCAAAATGCAAACAAACTAACAAAAATAACATACATGGAAAATGAAATTGAAAATGATTAAGATGTTTGGGTTTGAGATAATAATGAATTAGTTTATGAATTTTTTGGATGGATTAGAGATGATGATGACGATGATGGGTGTTTGGGTTGGATATAATGATGAATTAATTAATGATAGATAATTTAATTATTAATAGTTTTTAAAAATTGAAAATAAATTATTTCAAACTAAAAAATTAAATAAATCTGACTTGACTCCTTGTTATCAACGCACGTCATTAATGGGGATACCAGTTGTACAAAATTGGAGGGAGACTATCCAAATTCTAAACAATATAAAGTTTAAAGACAAAATTTAATTTTTAAAATGGAGGGACTAAAAGTTAAAAATTATTAAACTAGGAGACCAAAATTGCATTTAAGTGAATAAAATATTATTATGCTCAAATGAATAAAAATAATTAGAAAGATATGTTTTGAAAATATTACATCAAATTTTAAATGATCCGCTAACTAAGAGGATGATTTATAAAAAAGAAAAATTTGAGACTCCAATTGAATATATTATAATATATAGATTAGCTTTGTTGAACATTGTTAAAAATAATTTATATTTTATAAATTTGGTGACTTACAAATTCATAGAATATAAAATGAGAGGATTGAAAATGTGTTTTGAGAAGCGTCACATTAAAATATATTTAACGTGATAAAATTAGAAATATATGAACGACGATGTGTTGATGAAAAAGTTTGTGCATCTAATTTAATTTAGTATAAAAGTTGAAATATGAATAAAATTATTTTATTTTAAGGAGTTCGATTTTAATTTTGCATGTTATTCACTACGTTGAATATCAAATAAAATTATTAGATAATTGTTTTTTTAAAAACAATGAAGAAAGGACGAGGGCGGCCGAAAACCACGGTGTCACTGTCATCACTACTGGAATCGCTTGCCAGCTTGAAGACTCCTCAGTTTGTTTCAAGAACTACAACACCGTCGGAATCTAGCTCGAAGACGCCTGAGATTGGAGCAAAACTGATAAAGAGATGAAAGCCACACTCGAGAATACAGTCAAAGAAACCCCAGCAGAAGCGACCCAAGCTCAACCGGAGAAGCGCAAACTATGGGTGGATATTATAAACGACAACCGAAACCCTGCCAAGGGACTGACAATGGAATACGTCGCGCCAAAAGTTATCAACGGGATGATTGAAATTGATATTGAACAAGAAGACATCGAAACGGAAATACGATTTTGGGATAATGCCCTAATTCTTTATGTTGTAGGAGAGGATTTGAGTATGAACACGGTGAAGAACTTTATGCAGAGAACATGGAATTTCGTGAAAATACCAGACCTTTATTACCACGATGACGATTATTTTCTGCTTAGATTCAACTCCCAGAAAGACAAGGAATTCGTGATGATGAAAGGCCCCTACACGATTTGACATATACCCATGATACTGAAGGAATGACATCCTGGTTTCAACCTAAAGAGGGACCTTCTAAGAACTCTACCAATATGGGTGAAACTCCCCCAACTTCCCCTGCACCTATGGGGGGGGGGAGTCTGAGTAAGATTGGAAGTGCCATTAGAAAACCCTTGCTAACTGATGAATGTACGACGAACAAGCTCTGTGTATCATATGTAAGACTACTGATTGAAGTGGATATTACACAACAATTGATTGATGAAGTAGCCATCAAAAATGTTGAGGGAGATGTGATAATGCAGCCTGTGAAGTACGAGTGGAGACCAACATTCTGCGAAACATGTCAAAAAATGGGGCACAGATGTGAAGAACGACGGTAGACTCAACAATGGAAACCAAAACCCAAACCACCAGAAACATTCAAGAACATCACACCCTCAAAACAATCAGAAAAAGAGGAAGCAACATGGCAAGCAGATGAAACATGGACAAGAGTGACAAAAGTTGTACGAGATAAAGGTAAAAGAATATTGCTTGATAATAATAGCAACATCAACTGTAACAATGGGTTTGAAGCTCTTGAGGTTATGAATGACCATCAAGGGGTAATAAACCTTGAACCATGTTAGTCTCGTGGAACATAAGGGGACTCAATAAAGTAGGTAAAATTCGTGAGATTAGGTCCCGTCTCCAAGAGCTAAAACCTGCTATTATCATACTAATTGAAACTAGAGTTAAAGAAGCAAAAGCCAAGTCCGTTCGTGAGAAACTAATGATATACGATAAGCACATTGATAACTACAAAGACCATACAAATGGTAGAATTTGGATTCACTGGGATTGTAACAGGGTGGAGGTGAGATTCATTCAAAGTAGCAGCCAATTTATACACGGTGGTGTCTATGATAAATGTGGAGGTTTCAAGTACTGGTTAACTGTTCTATATGCTCATAACCAACTTAACAAGAGAAGAATCCTTTGGAAGGAGATAGAACACTTGTCTATTAACACCCAAGGTCCCTGGTGTGTTGTGGGAGACTACAATAATGTAACCAAAGCCCAGGACAGATTGGGAGGTAATCTTGTGACTGAAAAGGAATTTGAGGACCTGATAAAAATGATGTGGAATACAGGTTTGAGTGAAATGGACAGCATTGGGGATCACTTCACATGGTCCAACAAACGAGCTGTTGGACCCATCTACTCTAGGATTGACAGAGTCCTAGGTAATACTTGTTGGTTTCTCAACAATCTGGAGACTATGCTGAAAATTCTCCCACCTAATATTTTTGACCATGCCATGCTTTATTTGGAGGAAAAACAGGAACAGAGGAAACCACCCAAACACTTCAAGTTTAGTAACTGCCTTATTGATCTGCCAGGCTATGATATTGTGATCAAGAAGAGTTGGGATGCTCATATCAGAGGCATCCCAATGTATGTTCTTTGGCACAAACTCAAGAGACTGCAGCATGAATTAAAACATTTCAGCAAACCTCTGTCTGATATTAAAAGAAAGCTGATATCAGCTAGGGCAAACCTTAAAGAAACACAAGGAAAACTGATGGAGGACAGATTGAACAGCACTTTGGTTGAGGAGGCAAAGAAGCTGACTGAGGAAGTGATTTCCATGAACGAGCTGGAATGGAAAATCCTACAACAAAGGGCGAAAATTGACTGGATTAGAAAAGGAGATGGTAGCAATCATTATTTTTATGCAGCTATCGAAAGCAGACAATATTCCAACTGCCTTACCAATCTAATAAAAAATGATGGCAGATAGTTAACAACCAAACCAGATATTGAAGAGGAAGTGATTAACTTCTATAGAAACCTGATGGGCAAGGATGTTGACTGCATGAACCACATTGATATTGAAGCCATGAGGATGGGAAAGCAACTTAACATGGAATAAAGGGAACACCTCACCAGACCCATTTCTGAAGCTGACATCACCAAAGCCCTCAAAGGAATATGAGACCTAAAAGCTCCAGGAATGGATGGCTATGGAGCCAAATTTTTCAAAGCTAGCTGGGAAACTGTAAAAACTGATGTGATTGCAGCAGTTAGGGAGTACTTTGAAACAGGCAGAATTTACAAAGCTTTCAACAGTGTTGTAGTTTCCCTAATTCCAAAAGACCACACTGCTTGTGAAATAAAAGATTACAGACTTATAGCTATGTGTACCACCTTTTATAAAATCATCTCCAAAATTCTGACAGACAGAATAGGAGATGTTCTTCATAGTGTGGTAAGCCACAACCAAGCGGCTTTTGTACCAGGCCAAAACATTCACAATCACATCATGCTTGTAACTAAAATTCTTAAGGGATACAACAGGAAAGGGGGCACACCTAGAATCATGTTGCAAATAGATCTAAAAAAAGCCTATGATATGGTGAATTGGACTGCTTTGGAATGTATCATGAAAGAAATAGGGTTCCCTAACAAATTCATTCAATGGATTATGCTAGGCATCACCATAGTGTCCTACAGATTTAACATAATGGGTGAGTATACTGAAAGTTTGCAGGCCAAAAGAGGGATTCGACAGGGTGATCCATTATCCCCTATGATCTTTGTCCTCATGATGGAGTACATGAACAGGCTCTTGGTGAAAATGCAAAAAGATCCAAATTTCAACTACCACGCCAAATGTGAGAAGCTGCAAATCACAAATCTCACTTTTGCAGATGATGTGTTGCTGCTTTGTAGAGGGGATGACATATCTTTGCAAATGATGTTAAATACTTTCAAAAAGTTCTCCAATTCCACAAGTCTGATATTGAATCCTAACAAGTGCAAAATCTATTTTGGGGGATTGAATAGTGAAAGGAGAAAGACTTTGAAAGATCTGTCAGGCTTCCATGAAGGATCACTTCAGTTCAAATATCTGGGTGTCCCTCTCTCTAGCAGGAAGCTAAACATCAACCATTTTATGTCTTTGGTGGATAAAATTGTGGCTAGAATCCATCATTGGTCCTCTAGACTCCTTAGTTACGCAGGTAGAATTCAGTTAGTGAAAAGCGTAACTGTTGCAATGGTCCAATACTGGATGCAATGCCTCCCTATGCCTAAAGCGGCGATCAGGAAAATAGACTATATATGTCGTAGCTTCATCTGGACCGGTAAGAATACAATTAGCAGTTAATGCCCTGTGGCTCAGAATCGCACCTGTTGTCTGACTGCTCAGGGTGGTTTGAATCTGCTGAATCTTCAGGTTTGGAACAATGTGCTGCTCCTGAAATGTCTTTGGAATCTATGCAAAATAACTGATAATTTGTGGGTTAAATGGATCCATACTCATTACCTGAAGGGAAACAATGTGATGAACTACGAAATCAAAGCATACAATTCTTGGATTGTACGCGGTATTTTGAAACAGTGTGATAGCATGGAAGTAATCCGGAATGAATGGGAGCAAACTATAAATGCGCAAAAGTTTAAAGCTTCGGTTTTTTATAAGGTGCTGATTGATGATGGCACAAGGGTGCTATGGGGGAAATTGATAAAGTTCAACAAGGCCCGACCGCGTACTGTTTTTTGCTTATGGCAAGCTTGTCATGGGAAGCTTGCAACCAAGGATAGGCTGAAACGGTTTGGGATGATTGAGGACAACAGCTACAAATTATGCCAGGCTGAGGGTGAAACGTTGAATCACCTTTTTTTCTCCTGTCAGGAGACAAAACACATATGGAAGGAAGTGCTTAAATGGTTTAACATTCCTCATGAACCTCAACCATGGGATGCAGAACTGATTTGGATCAACAATATCACAAAGGGAAAGGGGTGGAAAGGCGAAGTTTTGAAGATGTTAGTAGCTGAAACCATTTACAACATCTGGGGATATAGGAATGACAAAACTTTTGGAAACACTGTAGATAATACAACCACAATTACTAACATCATAGATCATGTGATCTACCGAGGGTGGAACAACAGTAGGATTAGAAAACATCTCGTTAGTTTTATGATGTAATCTTGAATCTTTTTTGTCAGTTGGATCCCCTTGGATCACCTAACTCTGTATTTCTCGCCATTTTGAATTAATACACTTATTCCCTTGATTCAAAAATTTTTTTATTAAATTATATCAATAGATTTTATTATGATGGTTTGAATTAGCGATATTTTATTTTATAATTTTTCTAAAAAAATTTATTTGAATTTGACTATCAATCAGATTTTGTGAATAAATAAACTATAATTTTAAAAATAACTTTTCTAAAATTATTTAATACTTATGCATATTTTTATTATTTAGTGTAAATTTATTAAGTTTCATAATTTGTTTTTCTGTCTTACTTTATGTAAGTATTCATCTAACATATAACTTTTTTGGTAAGTAGTTAGTTAATTTTGATTATATTGATTTGGATAATTATATAGTATTCTATAAGATTTATAAAAATAAGGTATATTAAAATAATTAGTAATTAATAGTTAATATATTTCATATTTGTTAAAGTTTGAACCAATGGTTAATTTCTAATAGAAAATAAATATGTATTTTGTCTAAAAAAAGTGAAGATGAACTTTTAGAAGTCACATAAAGAAAGGAAGTGTTACATAAGAATATATAATAATTTGCAACTCTAATTTAATATATTATAAATAAATAGTTAAAACCAAGTTGGCAAATGTTGTCATTGTTTCAACAGAACTGTGGTTAAAATGAACACAATAAAAAAAAGTTTATGAGCACATTCTAAACAATGAGAATAAAAAGATAAAAACCTATTCGTTTGTTATTATCTGAAAAAATAAAAACAAAAATTCATAATATATAGCTCAATATGAACGCAGTTTAGAATTTTGCATCAATCAGGATCTTACTTTTTGGTTAGACATTATCAATATCAGATAACATTAAAAATTGCACTTTTCATATTTAGAAATTTATTCCTAATCTTCTATCAACTAGAATTTTCCACGTGCCTTCAACTCCTTAAATTGGCTATTTATTTGGCTCCTTGTTTCAAATTCTGTAGCGTCGACTATGTTTCATCAACTTTTAATAAATGGCTCAAACCCTAATCAAAGGGTCACTTGAACCTTACTGTGTTTCATTGAACTCCTCCATGTCCGACACACAATAAAAGTATCATATCATGGAAAAGTATTCCAATAACCATTATAAGATTTTGCTTCTTACTACTGTCACTGAATTGTAGGCAATTAAGAAGATGATTGATCTTTTTAATCTTGAAGCCATTCATAGGAAATCAAATTTCATGCATTCAAAACATTTACACATTCGACATCTTTAAAGTCGTTAGTGTTAAGAATGTAATTCTTTGTGTCGAAATATTTATGTGTTGAGTTGTTTAGTGTGTTGAAGTGTCGAAACAGATTGTTTCATTCAGGATTTTGATTTAGGTCTATTTTAGTAATATTAATTATTTTGGACTTTTATAGTTTTGGATTTTGGCTTAGAGCACATGCTAACCTAAATATATAAATAGGGAGTAACCCTTATTTTGTAAACAACTCATAACATTGTATTCACAGAATTTGTAGTTGTAAGTGAATAAAACAGGTTTTCACAGTTCGTGGATATAGAGAAACTCTGCAGAAAATATTCATCTTCTCCAACGTTACTTTCTTTTTTTCATTCTCAACCTTTTCTTTTCATTGTCATTGTGTGATTAATAACAATCTTGTCCATCAAGATTGAATGAAATTCTCCATAGGTTGTGGTTGAATTCCAACATCTGGTATCTAGAGCTCCGGTTGCGATTCAAGGAAGCAAAATTGTGATGGCGACAAATCATTCAAACGAACACTTTCCAACGAACCTTCTGATTCTCAAGAAAGATAATTATGAGAATTGGTGCAAGCAAATTAAGGTGGTTTTCTGTTATTAAGATCTTTGGGATCTTGTGAAGGAAGGAGTAACACCGCTTGTAGAAAACACGACAGATCAAGAAAAGGCTGCACACAAAGAATTGAAGAAGAAAGATTATAAAGCTCTCTTTATAATCCATCAATGTGTTTATCCAGATGACTTTGAAAAGGTTAGTGATGTAGAGTCAGTGAAGAAAGCGTGAGAAATTATGGAGAAGTCGTTTGGAGGAGTAGAGAAGGTGAAAGAGGTGGGGTTACAAACTCACAAGAGAATCTATGAATTGCTTCCGATGGAAGAAAGTGAAAGTATAATAATTTTTTTCACCAGGGTTACAAAACGGGTGAATCAAATCAAGGTATGTGGAGAAGTGTTGACATTAAGATCAGTTATAGCAAAGATCTTGAGGTCATTGGCTCCAAAGTTCGACCACGTGGTAGTAATCATAGATAGGGGTGTTCAAATCCAATCCGATCCAAAAAAAAAACCGAAAACCATAAAAAAACCAAAATTTTTGGATGTGCTTGGATGCCGTTTTTTAAAAACCGATCGGTTCGGATCGAATTTCGAATTGACTTTTTAAGACCGATCCAAGCCAAACCAAACTGCATGTATATATTTTTAAACTTATATAATTTTTATTAGTGTAATATGTTGTATTAATTTATTATTAGATGATACTTTTTTTATAAAATACTATTTATTAGTTTGATTTAATCTATTAATTTTTATTATTTCATTTGTTTCAATCATAATTGATCACTATAATTTTGTAATATTAACTTTTAATATAGTATATGTTATATATTATATCAAAATTATATTTATTAATATTTTTATAATATTAATAAAATTATAATTTGTAATTTGGATATTCGAAAAACCAATCCAAATCAAATCGTAAGAAATTGGATCGGATCAGATTTTTTAAATCAGTCATTCAAAACCAAACCGAACCGCAAGTAAATTTATCTTTGGATCAGATGATATTTCACTTCAAAATTGATCCAAACCTAACCGCGAACATCCCTAGTCATAGAAGAGTCGAAAGACTTGTCAGCATTGACAAAGGAAGAGCTTCAAGGGATGCTTGAGTCTCATGAACAAAGGATGAGTGAAAGAGCTGCAGGAAAGTCGAAGAGTGATATGGCTTTGCAAGTGCAGTAAGAAAAAGAAAAGAAAGGCAAAGGAAGCTGGAATAACAATAAAGATATAGGAGGCTGCAACAACTTGACTGGTCGAAATCAGCAGATAGAGGTGGTGCTGCAGATAGAGGAATATGTGTTGGTCGAAATCCTAACAAAAGTCACATTCAGTGTTTCAATTGTCAGAAGTATGATCACTATTTTAGTGAGTGTCGAGAAAAGAAGAAGAATCAAGAAACTGATGCAAAGCTGGTGAAACATGAAGAAGAAGAAGAAGAAGAAGAAGAGATGTTGCTGATGGTCATAACAAGAGATGAAGAAAGATTCCAAGATCAGTGGTACTTGGACTCCGGATGCTCATCACACATGAATGATAGGAAAGATTGATTTGTCAACATGGAGCCTTCAATGAAGAATATGGTGAAATTTACAAATGACAATACTCTAGCAGCTGAAGGTATTGGTGATGTTCTGATTATGAGAAAAGATGGCAAGAGGTCAGTAATTTCCAATGTGTTGTACATACTAGGCATGAAGAGTAATTTTCTCAGTAGATGGCAGTTGGTCGAAAAGAACTACACATTATCGATCAAAGACAAGATGCTGAGATTTCTTGACTTAGGTGGTAGGTTAATCTTGAAGGCTCCAATGTCTTAGAATAGGACCTTCAAGATTGAACTTAATGTGATGGAGCATAAGTGCCTTGCAACTACAGCCAAAAGAGATGAATGGTTATGACATTATCAACTTCGTCATCTCAACTTCAAAGACATCAGAGATTTGAAGAGAAGAAAGAAATATGGTTTTAGGATTACCAGAAATCGACATTCCAAGTGAAGTATGTGAAGAATGTGTTCAGGTAAAGCAACACAAGAATAACATCAACAAGGATGCAGGAAGCAAGTCAAAGGCAATTCTCGAAGTCATATACTCTGATGTATGCAGTTCTATCCAGATGGATTCGATTGGAGGTAACAAATACTTTGTCAAGTTCGTAGATGATTTCAGTCAAAAAATATGGACTTACCTGATCAAGAAGAAAAGTGAAGTGGTCGAGGTATTTTCCAAATTTAAATCTATGGTCGAAAGACACAGTGGTCGAAAGATAAAGATTCTGAGGACTGATTGTGGTGGAGAGTATGTGTCGAAAGATTTTGATGCATTATGTGAGAAAGAAGGGATTGTGCATGAGGTGGTGCCACCCTACATTCCACAGCAGAATGGAACTACAGAAAAGAAGAATATAACCATCATGAATATGGTGAGAAGTATGTTGAAAGACAAGCATATACCCAAAGAATTATGGGGAGAAGTTGTGTCGACAACAACATACATCCTGAATAGATGTCCGACATAGAATTTAAAAGGAATCACGCCAGAAGAATGTTGGTCTAGTGTCAAGCCTAGCCTAAGTCATTTGAAGGTGTTTGGATCTATAGCACATAGACATATGTCAGATTATTTGAGAGGAAAGCTTGATGACAAGTCAAGTCAGATGATCCTGATAGGATATCATTCGACTGGAGGATACAAGTTGTTCGACCCAGTGAACAAGCAAGTTGCGATCAGCAGGGACATGATCATAGATGAGCTTAAGGAATGATATTGGATTGAGAATGTCAAGAAGGATTCAGTGAGAATCCTATGTGAAGAACCAACTAGTGAAGTCGAAATAGAAGTTCGACAAGAAGAAGTCAGAAGTGAAGCAGGTCCAAGCAGGCCTCGACGAATAAGACACATGCTTGCAAGGTTGCAAGAATGTGTGATTACATCAGATGATGTGGTTGATGAAGAAGGTGAGATGGTACACTATGCTTTCTACGCGCATGTCGAACTAGTCAATGCAACTTAGACATTCAAAGACTCAAAGTGGGTAAAAGTAATGAATGAGGAGTTAGAGTCCATCAAAGTCAATAACATTTGGTCACTTTTCGAATTGCCTCAAGGCAAGAAGGTAATTGATGTGAAATAGGTTTAAAAGGTGAAGGT